CGCAGCCTGCCCTGCCGCCCCCTTCCCTCCTCCCAGCGCCTGAGCCCCGAGCACGCGCAGTCGGTGCTGCCACAGCCCGCCCGCTTCAGGGTCTGCTGGTCTGGGGTGCTGAGGGATACACCTTTCGTGGCCGAAGGGTAGATACACTATAAAGGAGAAATGCTCAGTTCGCCTTTACAGAGTAGGTATGTGCTGTTTTGTTTTGGTGTTTTCTTCTTTGCCACTCCAGTCTTCCAGTTTCAGCTCTCGCTTGCCCCCCTTCATCCCCACCAGCCTCGTGCTGCTGTAACTTCCTTTGGCACTTCCCCATCACGTTTTCCTCCCTGTGGTTGTCTCGCTGCTGTTCAGCTCTTTGCACTGTTTTTGTCTTCCGTCTTCTGATAAATGCCGGAGTACTCATCAGTGTCTTTTATTCTCTCCCATGAGGTTGTTCCCCGTGATATTTTGTTCAAAAACTCGAGGAAATACTCGAGTGAGAGGTTCTGCCTTCTGTAACACCAGTCACAGCTGTATGTCAAGGTGGAGAAGTAGGGTTTGCAGGTGTAATAGAGATACAGTCACTTCTGTGAGAAGTAAGGATGTCTATCTGGGACCTGCAGGTTATGGACTTCTTCATCCTGTGAACTGTCACTCTGTCCCTCCCTTTAGGAAGGGACATTCTTAGAAAAATGAATTAAAATTTTAAAGAAAATTGTGTGAAAGGTCAAAGTTCTCCTTTGTGTTTGTGGTGTTGGCCAAGGACCAGATAGTCCCAGCTGCTAAAAAATCAACTCTGAAATGATAGTATTGTCCAATTTAAACCAAATTTGGCATGGTTTGAAAAAAAAACTTTAGAGTATCTCTGTGTTTGTGAATTAGATGCCTAGATGAAGGGGAGACTCAGATTAATGCTGTCATGCCTCTCTGGCTGTATATTCAGTTCCAGCCACACAGCAAGCGGGGTTAGGAGGCTGTTCAGGGTTTTTCCTCTTTAGGTAGATCAGGTCTCTGATCTGGTTCCCCAGGTGCTGCACAAATGCTTGTAGCCACCTTGTGTGCAGGTGTGGCTGAGCAGCTGGGAAGTTGGCTGGTTGGGTTGGCATTGCCACTGAGGAGATGCACATATAGCCAGAGCTCCAGAAGAAAAAGGTTACTGAAGCAGGGACTCAACAATTGTCTGGTCTTTGGGAAGGTCAGCTGTATGGCATTTTGCTTGGTGGCAGTCAAGGAGCATGAAAGACTTGAGGGGGTGGTGGCTGGAGGATAGAAGAGGAGAAAGGGCATGAGTGGACTTGATGGGGTGGGATGAGGAACAAATGGGCCATTATGAGTTTGGATAAGGGAAGGAAATATGCTCTGGAGTGAGGGGCACAGATCTGTAGGGTCAAGCGTCATTACTTTGAACTGAGTGAGATGACTCCTAATATTTGATGTTTCCGCAGCAATTAGTCTAAATGCATTGGAGAGCAGTTGCCCTCACATCCTTGGGGTCAGCTGCAAGCTTGGCAAGGTTGGGGCTCGGGCTCCAGCAGCCTTGCCAGAACAGCCACCTCTCTGTTCCAGCTCTCCTGCTGCCCCTTGCACTGTGCTGGTGCAGCCAGGGGCATGAGCCCAGTGAACTGGGAGAGCAGTCTAGTGGAAAATGAGTATGAGGAACGTGGAAAAGAGATAGTGGTTGCTTCAGCCACTCTGTTGCACAACTAGAGCTTAAGGAGGTCACCTAGGGATTTCCCTAATGGAAAGGGACTCTCCAGCAGCTTTGAGTCCAGGGGAGGTAGAAACAGAACTGAGAATCTGACCCAGAGGTCTTTTTGTTACTGAAATGTATAGGCTAAAGAATTGCAGAATCACAGATTTTGTTTTTTTTAGTTGGAAGGGACCTTAAAGATCATCGAGTTCTGACTCCCCTGCATGGGCAGGGACACCTTCCACTAGAACAGGCTGCTCAGAGCCCCATCCAACCTGCCCTTGAACACCTCCAGGGATGGAGCCCCCACATCATCTCCGGGCAGCCTGTTCCAGTGTCTCACCACCCTTACACTGAAGAATTTACGCCTGATCTCTAACTTAAATCTCTTTTCTTTCATCTTAAAACCATTACCCCTTGTCCTCTCCCTGCAAGCCCCTGTAAAAAGATCCTCTCCAGCTTTCCTGTAGGCCCCCTTCAGGTACTAGGAGGCCACTATGAGATCCCCCTCAGAGTCTTCTCTTCTTCAGACTGAACAACCCCAACTCCCTCAGCCTGTCCTCATAAGAGAGGTGCTCCAGCCCTTGGATCATTTTTGTGGCCTTTCTCTGGACACATTCCAACAGGTCCACATCCTTCTTGTGCTGGGAGCACCAGAGCTGGATGCAGTATTCTAGGTGAGGTCTCACCAGGGCAGAGGGGCAGAATCACCTCTCTCCATCTGCTGGCCATTCTTCTTTTGATACAGTCCAGGATGGAGTTGGCCTTCTGGGCTGCAACTGCGCATTGGTGGCTCATGTCCAGCTTTTGATCCACTAGGACCCCAAGGTCCTTTTCCACAGGGCTGCTCTCAAGCGTGACCTCCCCCAGCCTGTATTCATATCTTGGGTTACCTAGGCCCAGGTGCAGGACCCTGCACTTGGCCTTGTTGAACCTCATGAGATTCACCTGGACCCACTTCTCTAGCTTGTCCAGGTCACTCTGGATGGCATCCCGTCCCTCTGGCATATCGACCACACCACCCAGCTTGGTGTCATCAGCAAACTTGCTGAGGGTGCTCTCAATGCCACTGTCAATATCCTTAATGAAGATATTAAACAATATTAGGTGACATGTTGCTAATATTTCTAAAAACAAAAATCCAGGCATTGATGAGAAATGCATGAAAATGGGAGCTGAGGGGAGGACAAAGAAGGAATATCTATTACTGTGTCTTATGTAATGCTTTTCCTCTGAAGCCTCGTGTTACTGTTTAAATGAATGAATCTGCTAGACATTGCACTTTGCTTCCAGTTACTTACTTTGTAGATAGTTTTGTAAATACAGAACTGCATGATAGTTTGTACAGCATCAAGAAGAGAAGTGCTGTGTAGGGTAGCTGTTGACTGCTTCTTACCATGTTTCTGTTCAAGCTGTAACAACGCAGCTTTACGAGCCTTAATTGAGTAGTTAAGGGAAAAATAGGTAGGGTCTGTTGCATTGTCACTAAATCCGAAGTTAGTTTATCTGTTGTGTGAGGAGTGTTTGGAAATATTTGTTTCTGCCTTTCCCCTTCAAAACTGTGAAATAAGCTGGTTTTGCACTAGCCACACCAATCTATTATTAGCATTAATTCCTTTTTACTTCTCAAGAACATTTTTCACTTTATCATGTAAGGTTTTTATATTTTCACTGTACAATATGAGCATTTTCAAGCTTCATGTGAGCTAGATATTGTTCCCACTTAGTGAGGGCAGAGGGACTTTCCTGGGGCTCTCCTTTGTTCCCATTTCACTTAATAGGGAGTTTTCAGAGGCCTGTGAACTACTTGAAAGCTTCAGATTTGGAAAATTGAAACAGGTTGGTAATTAGTAAGGAAAGAAAGGGTAAAGTCCTAAAGCTTCTACAGCTTTTATTCCGTGGAAACTACATTTTAAACTCTTGTCAGAAAGACACCAAACAACAGAGGTCACTTGTATGAAACCTTAAAGGGTATGGGATGCTCCCTGTAGTGGGATGTTGTAAGAGGATGATGATGTGTTTGTATAAAAGTGTGCAGAGATGAGCAGGCAGTGCACACTTAGATCTAAAGACCAAGCTCAGCTTCTGAAGGGAATATCTTTAGATACTGCTACAGGTCAAGTTGCTAATGGAATGATTTTCTCTAAATGCTTGAAGTCAAAACAACACCTAAAAGAACTGTCTTAATTCATCCTCATTTACTAGTGCTTGAGTGGATGCCAGTTGAAGACTCCTGGGCTTTTCTGTTTTGTTGGGGTTTTTTTGTTTGGTTTGGGGTTTTTTATTGTTTGGTTGGGTTTTTTTAATTTTTAATTCTGTGATATAAATACTGTTTAGGAAATCAAGTTCTGGCTCAGTCCAGGTTGTTACTATATTTACTTCTCTGTGCTAGAACTGTTTGAAGGGGCAGCAGTTTGAATTATGCTTTTCCAAATATTTAAATGCCTGTCAACCTCATCAGAGACATAAGGAGGTTTTTTTTCTCTTTTCTAAGAGTGATACAGTCTTGGTGATTATGTTAGACTGTGATCTGTATCTGTGCATTAGAAAAGTAATGAAACCTTTACTAAATGTTTTCCTGTTGCATGAGCATCAAAATGATAAATTCTCGTCTTTTTTTAAAGACATGAAATAAGGAAAGTTATTGCATAGTTCCCAGAAGTGAATTTTGACCTCTGAAGACAATACTCAGACAAACAAGCTTCTGTGTCTACAAGGCTTTTTAGTGTAGCTTTCTCAGTTCATCTTGTATACTTAATAAATTTATGTGGAACTGAAGAGAAAATGTTACTTTATGTCACCATTTGACTCAGGTCTGACAACAATGCTCTCGATCCCCTCCCCCTCTCACCCAGGTAGAGAAGGAGAGAGGAAAAAAAAAAGAGACTTTGCTGGTTTGAATCCCAGTTAGTGAAAAGTTATAATCTGGGCTTTAAATTGAGCCCCACTTTGGGCTCCAATAAATTGTTGTCACCGTTTGACTCGGGTTTGACAACAATGAAGTACTTAGGTGAATTTGTATTGAATTAGACTTGAGAATGAAGTATGTATCAGTATGAAAATGAGCATCATTTTGAGGGGAAATTTAAAGAGCACTCCTGGTGAAGTTTCCTGAAACAAAACTCATTATTTCCTTTGGTTTGAGAATCTCCATTAAAATAACTCTGCTTTGATCAAATATTTTTTATTCTGTAAATATTGGGAAATTTCAAAAAAGAACAACTTTGTGGAGCAGTTGGGTTTAAAGCCTCCTTTTTCTTTTTAAAAAAACAGAAGGATGATGACATTGAAGAGGGGGATCTTCCTGAGCACAAGAGGCCTCCAGCACCAATAGATTTCTCGAAAATTGATCCAGGCAAGCCTGAAAGTATCCTGAAGCTGACAAAAAAGGGAAAGACTTTGATGATGTTTGTCACTGTGTCAGGAAATCCCACAGAAAAGGAGACAGAGGAAATTACCAGCCTGTGGCAGGGCAGTCTCTTCAATGCAAACTATGATGTACAAAGGTGAGTTGTTGACAGGGGTGAAGTTCTTGCTTTTGCAACACCCATGTTTGTTTCTGAACATCTTTTCAGCTGTTCATCAGCCTTTCCCCACCTCCACTGTCCATCACTATTTCTTTGTTTCTCTATCAGTTTATATGCCAATTTAAGTCACACTACAAAAATTCTGGTGTGCACAAATCTTCTTCACACGTACACATGATGTATGTATACGACCCTGTTTCTTTTTATCTCATTACATTTCAGCTATTTATCAATTTTAGCTGCAGTGCTTTGCCTTTATGTGCTTGATGGAAAACATCACACTTGGGAGACTCCTCACCACAAAAAGCTTTTTGTTCCCCTGGTTGAAAAATGTGATTTTTTTTATTTTTTTTTTTTCCTCTTGGAGAGAGAGGATCATTTTGAAATAGGAATGTTGTGCTCTTGAATTGAGGCTAAGAAGGGTTGCAGTAAGTGTACAGAGCAAATTTAATGCCCATTAGTTGTTTTTATGTAGTGTCAAATTAATCTTCATATTTTTACTCCTTGGTTATTTTTCAACTTAGTAAGTTTTATTATTACTTTGGCTAGAAAATTGGTTTCTTGTTCCCCTCCCCAGGCAACAAGAAGACCAACTTGTTGCTCTGAAAAGTGTCCCTCAGTTGTGGAGGTGCTCTGAATTAAGGAAAATGTAGTGCTTGAAAGGTATGGAGCTGACAGGTATCTTTCCTCTAGGTTTATTGTTGGCTCAAATCGTGCCATCTTTATGCTGCGTGATGGTGGTTATGCCTGGGAGATCAAGGACTTTCTGATAAATCAAGAAAGGTGTGCAGATGTTACCCTGGAGGGCCAGGTTTATCCTGGCAAAGGAGCAGAAGAAAGTGAGAAAGTGAAAAACAAAACAAAACCTGAAAAAGTAAAGAAGAAAAAAGATGAGGAGAAGAAATCTAATAGCATCAAAGAGGACAACCGAGCAACCAAACAGAGAGAGGATCTATGATGGACACCTTAACCAGACTGAATGCTGCTCTGCTGCTCCTTGAAGGGAAACTACATTTCCATACAATTCCTAGCTTTATTGGGGGGAAGGAGGGAAGCAGAGATTACTGAGGTTAAAAGACTTCTCTTTTGAAATTCACCAGTTTACTTATCAATATTGGTCATTTCTTTAGTTATGGGGAAGATAATGTGTCATACCAGCAATTGACTACTTTAGTTTGTAGCTTTTAGTGCTTTTGTTGTTTAAAATTAATGTACGAATTTGTGTGTAAGGTCACAAACTTAAATGGAAAAGAAGAAATACAGTCTCAGGACACGTGTAGTAGCTGCATCCATCATGGCTGTGCAAGTTGGTCATTGATTTCTAGCTGCTGTTAGGTAGCAGAGTGCAGTGCTGAAAGATTGTCTTGGAAGCCACTTTGCTAGACTCAGTTGGCAAAACTTCCTGAAATTGCAAAGAATAATGTTACAGTGGCCAAAGATAACCTGAAATTACAGGGTTTAGGCCATGTATAGTTTGACTGCCTATTTCTTTAAAATAATCCAAACCCCTCTGTCTTGTCTGAAGAAATCCATGGAACTGCTCAGAAGCATGGTAGAAGCTGGTAGATAATTTGGCAAATGCACTTCCAGTCAGTACAGAGAGGAGATTCCTTACCCATCAAAAGTGATGCAGGAGTGTTAATGGACTTAGAGGACCTGCATGAGGGGTGTCAGGGGGAAAGGAAAAGTCAGATTCATGGCATTCAGGTTGCTGCTGCTGCCAAAGAACAGTGCCTGTGCAAATATGATGTGTGCCCCATTTTGTATTCAGTTAAATTGCTTTAACTCTGAAATGAATTTGTTTTACTGGTTTAAGGGTTTGTTTAAGTCTCTGAAAAAGCATGAGTTACAGTACAGAGTTAAACCTTGAGTTACACATATCTTCTAGTGAAGCTTAATAACAGATTGTATTTTTTGGTACAGATTCCTGCGTGACATGGCTGATTGTATATGAACATTTGATTTATATGCTATGAAGTTTGATGTATGAGAGCAAATTAAATTTTTCTTTAGACTTTGTATAATTGGGAAGAATTTATTACTATTCAGATTCCATTCAGTCAACTGTATTGCTTAGAACTGTTTCCCTTCTGCCTTACTATGTGTTAAGGACTGAATGCACCTAGTATGTATGGTCCACATCATTTTCCAGAGGATGAGCACAGTATTAACTGCCTTCATTCAGTAAGACTAAGATGTTACTTTGAGTCTTTATTTAAGGTGCTAAAATCCAAGTGTTTTGGATAAAAGGTCCTAATTGAACCATAATGGTTGATCTTGTGGATCAAAAGTGGGAAACTGTGATTTACTGAATGCTTGTTCTAAAATAAAATATGTCACTGAAGTTACTGTTGCACTGAGTGGTAAAATCTTGTCAGTTGTTGTACATTAGTTAGATACTCGGGAGATGACCTGTAAATGATGTCGATGAAGGTTCAAAGTGATTGTTTTTCTTTAATTGAAATTATGTTTGTATTAATTTAGGTTTAAAGAAACCTTTCCTGCCACACTTGATTAGACATGTTTTAGCCTGTTTGTCTGAGTGGAAACATGAAAATTGTGCATTTCTGTTGGTTAACTGTATCACTTTTATATTCCACCAATCCAAAAGTGTAGCAGAGTTGAGAAGAGTCTTTGTAGTTATTTGGGTGTCACACTGAACTGGGGAGAGATGTGCAGTTTATTTCTTGTCCATAACTAATTGATCATTTTGTCAAGTGTTCTTTCTGGCTTTGCACCTGCCTTTTTTTAAAGAGTAGTTCTTCTCAAGAGATGAACAGAGGTCAGATGAAACTATAAGTATAAAATACTACTGAGTTTTTTCTTTTTGCAACTTAAATCTACAGTATTGAGATGACAGTTCAGATTAGGACCAGAAATATGTGCAAAAGCAGCTTTCTTAATATTGTGGAGCGTAAACATTGCTTCTGTTTTGGTCAAGCCAGGTGCTTCCTGAGCTCAATAATTAAGCAATGGAAAACAGTACACCAATAATACAAAATCAAATTAGCCAAGGAGGAGAAATGTTTGCTATGCTATAGCTGTAGCCCAACTGTTGAGAACAGATACTTGTTTTACTAATTTGTAAATCTACATTTAAGTAGGCTGGGTCTTTTCCCTCTGGAGTTAAATTTCAAAGTCTTTTGTGAGTTGTTTTAGGTTTTTAATAGGAGTAATGACTTCAAGGTTGCTTTTTTGATATCAAATACAAAATGCTGCTGCCTTCTTTTACCTTTTCCATGCTTTACATTCAAAAAACAATTAAGTATGTCAGTAAAATGTGACGTGAATGGCATCACCAGCCAGTCTCTCTCTGGTATCATGGTTCATAACTAAACTACTGCAAAACTATTTGTATTCCCTTTAAAACCAGTAAATCCTTGAGACTGTAGCACTTGTCCTGAATGGGTTGCATTATCTCTAAGTACCTGAGGAGATACTGGACTCTGCTTTATGTTGTGCAGTTGAGTCTCATTGGACTTTGAGTAACAGATTTTTTACTCTTTATGCAGACAGTTCAGACACAGGCTTTGAAATGACTTTCAACGAGGAGAGTGGTGATTATAACTCCTTATTATTTCCTTATTTTTTTGGTACTTTGTAGAAGTACATGCGAAAACACCTGCTTGTGTGACAGCTAAATAATGTCTGCAGCTCTTCTCCACTCAGCTTAGTGCTTTTCTCTGTTCCAGTGCCATAACTGGTTTTCTAAGTTACCATATTTTTAACCTGGCTGTCCTTCTCAGAAAAAAGACAGTTTATCGGTTTATCTTATTACCTAAGATGTGGATGTACTTTGCAGAAAATGTCCAATAGACAATCAACTTTTTTTTTTTTTTTGGTTGTTAAAAAATACTGGAATAAATATCTTTGAGGGTTTTTTTTTGTGGGTTTGTTTTTGTTTTTAATAATCCTAGGAATAATATTATGTGCCTTACCTGTTTTACTGGGGGGAAAAAAAGAAATAAAAATCAAATACCTACAGAGAAGAGTACAAGTGCATCCCCTGTTTTTAAGGGCTTCATTGCTATGACCAGGGCCCAGAAGACCTGAGAGAAGCACCATGTGCAGCAGAGGAATAAATGCTGGCTATTCATTCATAACAAACATCCTCACCAACTATTAAACCTTATCAACCAGAGATGGCAGCAGTGTCAACAGTCATTAAAAAAAAAAAAAAGAGATGTGCAGGTGCAGTTGTTATTACATTGCTAAGGTTTATGTGTGATGGTGCAATCAGGTTTCCTGGCTCTGCTGCTCACACCTTCTCTTCAAGTGCATCATTTGCTAGCAGGGTTGTTCCCATTTCTTCTGCAGCTTTTTTAAGTTAGTGTTTCACTTTGCTGCTGCATTCATTACTAAATGAAAGACACATTTATTTTTTAAATTCCATGTTTAAGTCCATATGACACACAAACTACAAGAGGATTTTTGTTCTTTACTTGAGTGGTCAAAGCATTTCACTTCTCTGAACACCCAGGTCAGCTGTGGCTTCAAAAAGACTCAAATGGTCTTGCCACAGGTTCTGAACCCCTTCGATTTCGTTGTGAAAAGGAAACCAAGGATTAAAATGCCGTTTTGTTACGATACATAACAGCCTACTTTGGTCTGATATTTGTCCACTGTTCTCATGGGGTTTATTGTAAAGCTTAGAAATTATTTCCAATTTTTATTTGTTTTTACTTATCTGTGGCTTATTTCCTTTTCTATTCAAGGAAGAAGTAAGTTTGCCTTTTCCAGAGGGTTGTCAGGTTTGAGTTGGGTTTTTTTCCCCCCTCTTTTTTTTTTTTTTAAATTACATTGCATGTTTATAGACAGTCAAAGAGCTCATGCCTGAAGAAGGGGGATGCCCCTGTTTACACAAATACCTGTTTCATTGGTAGTCTCATTATTCTTATTTCCATCCTACTATGTCTGTTTAAATACTTACTCACTCTTACTGTAGGACAGCATGAACTAGCTTTCCTTGCTTATCACCATTTTTAGTCTCTCATACTGTGTCACTTTAACAGGGACAAAACCTGCTGGATTCAGGGAATATTAAATTGCCAGAAGGTCAGAGCTGCTTGGATTATGAAGGGAAAATCTCCACATGAATTAGTTTTTTGTGGTGGGTTTTTTTTCTCTCTCAGTAGAGAAGTCGGGTAGTGTGAGGGGTTGGACACACCATCTGTCCAAGCAGGGTGGTTTCTGATTACTACTAAAAAGGCTGGTGTAACACATTATAATCAAGTATTGCAGGGCACCCCAGTTTATCCAAAGAGAAGTTTTAAATGCTGTGTTTCTGTTCCATGTGATGCTAGTTAACAGATCAGCATTTTCATTGTTGATGTTGGTGTCAGCTGGGGGGGACCTTTACCAGTGGCATTGTATCAAAGGAGAGCTGTCATGTTAAAAGCAGAGCTGTTAATCATCACTTAACAGTAATCATTCTAATAAAGAATTTCTCAAAAAACAGGTGTTTTGTTTAAATTTTTGATTATTGTGTAAACACTGGTATTTTGGGAGGGAGAAATGGGACACCTAAAGGAACCTGGAATAAAGGAACTTGGAATGAAGGAACTTGAACGTGGAATAAAATGGGGACAGAATGTGTTGCATCTTTGCACCTCCCAGAATCAAAGACATAGTCTTTTCTTGTTTCAGACTTATTGTGCCTCTGCTCTGTTGCTGTTGGACAGAAGAGATTCTATTTTTTATTTATTTTTTTTTACACACTAGAAGGCTGTAATCTGTGAGGCTTATAACCAACATTTTATTTATTTATTTTTAAATTCTGTAATTAGTGGTACCTCAAAAAAAACCCCAAAAAACCGTGTACCCATCTTTACTGCCTACAATAATTTTCAGTAGTGTCTGAAAGTAGCCTGGACTTCTGGGTTGGTGGCATGCCCACTAATTCTATGGAAACCACCAAGCAGAGGATTGGCCACTCATTAAATAATTTCTATTTAATTATAGTAATACTAATGACATTGAATATTAAAAAACCCCAACATTTAAATGTTAATATTTAAATAGTTGACAGCATTATCACATATCAACAGGCTCCACCTGCTTTGCAAAGAGGTGAAGAGCACAGACCAGGTGTTTGCTTGCAAGGCCATTATGAATGGGAAGCAGCTGTTGAGCA